CCCCCACACAGTACCCCTCCCACAACAGCACCCCTACCCTCCCCACACACTACACAGCACCCCTACCCCCACACAGCACCTACCCTACAGCACCCTACCCCCACACAGCACACCCCTCCCATACACATCCCTACACCCAACAAAGCACCCCTACCCCCCACACAGCACCCCTACCACACACACACAGTATCCCTACCACACAGTATCCCTAGCACCCCTACCCTCCCACACTAACTACACCTACATAGTACTCCTACTCCCACACAGTCCCCACTCCCACAGTACCCCACCTCCCACACACAGTATCCCTACCCCCAAAGCACCCCTACCCTCCCCCACAGCACCCCCTACCCCCACACAGCACCCCTACCCTCCCACACACACACAGTATCCCTACCCCACAGCACCCCTACCCTCACACAGCACCACACACAGTACCCCCACCCCCCACACACAGTACCCCTAACCCCACACAGTACCCCTACACCACCACACCTCACACAGTTACACAGTACCCCTACCCCCACACACAGTACCCCTACCCCCAAACAGTACCCCTACCCCCCACACACCCCCCACCCCCACACAGTACCCCTCCCACACACACAGTACCCTAACCCCCACACACACAGTACCCCTAACCCCACACAGCACCCCTTTCCTACACTGCACTCTATCCCCTACAAATACGTGTATCCCTACCCCCACAAAGCACCCTACCTCCCACACACAGTACCCCAAAGCACCCCTACCCCACACAGCACCCCTACCTCCCACACACACACACAGTATCCCTACTCCCCACAAAGCACCCCTACCCTCCCACACACAGCACCCCTACCCCCACACACAGTACTCCTACCCACACCCCAGCTAACCCCCACACAGCACCCCTATCCCACCCACACAGTACCCCTATATCCCTCACACACCCCTACCTCCACACAGTGTACCCCTACCCCCACACAGCACCCCACCCCCACACACAGCACCCCTACTCCACCACACAGAGCACCCCTACCCCCCCACAAAGTACCCTCACACAGCACCCCTACCCCCCACAGCACTCCCCACACACACACACACACACCCCTACTCCCACCACACAGGCACCCCTACTACACAGCACCCCTACCCCCACAAAGCACCCTTACCTCCCACACACAGTACCCCTACCTCCACACACAGCACCTCTACCCCACACAGCACCCCCTACCCCCACTCCCTGCACCCCCTAGCCCCCCACACACAGCACCCCTACTCCCACCACACAGAGCACCCCTACCCCACACACAGCACCCCTACCCCACAACCAGCAGCCCTACCCCCCACACACAGTACCACTAACCCCTACACAGTACCCCTACCAATGAGCTGAAGTGGTCTGGGTGCCAATAGTGTCCTTTTAATTAAGTGGTTTTATGTATAGATCATGACCCTGCAGTCTAAATGCTCAGTTATATGTCATTTAGGAGTTAAATCACTTTTGTTTCTGTTTATGCAGCCCAATCCACACTTCTCCTGGTTGTGACTCACACAGCCTGCATGAAAAAAATGGTTTACATTTTCATTCATATGTTAACTTGCTTTAGAAGTTTTTATCTCCTGCTCTGTGAATTGAACTTTCATTAAAGATGGGAAGCTTTTGCAGGGTCTATGTGGTTATTAACAGAGCAGGAGATAAATTCTAAATAAAGGATGTTTTAAACATTAGATGTCTCTAAAGGAGTTTTAGATATGTCTCCTCTTAATATCAAGAAAATAGTGCTTACAAAAATGAACCTACTTGATTATGTATTTATTATGTAATCAGCACTCCGATCGGAATAAGAATATGCTTCACATGTGTCAGTATGTGTGTAAATTGTTAAAACATGTGCAGATGGAAATCAAGAGGTTTGAAGAGGAGGGAGTTTGTAGAAACCGCAGCCTTATAAGGGGGAGGCCTGGAAAGAATCCCCTTCAAATAAAGTACATTTGATGGGGTGAAGCGCGTCACCCTGCAGGATCTCAGTTTACATCACATGATCAGAACCACAAAGTTTACCTGGACTGTTGATTTGCGTGTGGACTTTTAAACAGAGAAATATTTGTGGGTTTCATTCATAATGAGCTCACAAAGTTGCACAAAATTCACATTAGCCAGCCCGGAACTCTTGTTCTGGCAAACCCTGCACCAATGACACTGCAGGAGGCGTAGCTGTACTTTCAACAGCAAAGAGGTTAAACTTTGCATGTGCAACGTGTCAGACTCCAGAAACCAAATTACCGAAGTGGTCATGGTGCTTGGAGTAACACATGTACATTAAATATTTGAACAAATCACTTGCTCGAATTTTACACTACCCCTAAGAGCCATCTTTATTCACATTTCGTCAGGAAGATATTTATCCCATTCAATTCTCACTATTTTGCAACTGTAAATGTGCTAAAAATAAACATTTTCCAATGGAATGTTCCTTCAAGAATGAGGATGTGCACCTGTATAACATTAAAGTTAATCATATTACAGATTGGGCCACAGAGGAGGACATGAAGGATATTCGCACAGATATTTCCAACATTAGGGAATCACTCCATAATCTTCAGTCTACCAACTAGGTATTTACCTCGCCCTCTAAGACCATCACAGTAGCAATCACATTAAAATCTGCGGCATAACGGCTGCAACCATGGAAGAGGAACAGCCTCAGTATCTAAGAAGCCTTGTGGCCGCCATACTACCCCCTCAGGTGGCTAGAAGATTCATCATGGATGGGGCATACAGACTCCCTAGCACAAGCAGGCCTCCCACCACATCATGGGATGTAATTCTCCGCTGTACATTCTCACACGAAAAGGGACAACACTTAGCAGCACTTAGGGGCAAAACAGTATTTTGTTTTGAGAACTCACACTTGTCTTTTTACCCTCCAATGGCATAAGTCCCTCTGCCACATCACGCTCTGCAGATTTTGCTTATAGATGGTGGGGCACCAAGATTTCTGCTGGTGGCACATAATGGAGCTATGCATAAATGTAGCTCCATATCAGAGGCACTGGTGTTGATGACAGCATGGGGCCTCTCTATACCTGCATCCATCTGGAGTCGTCAAGTGACACCAAGTGACTGCAGCCCTGCCAACATACTACCCTTTGTGCCAAGGGCTGGTGAAGATGCCTAAGTGACCACCTGACTACACTTGGTGTCCCTATTATTCGTGCACAGATGTCTGCTCACTCTTGCATTTGTTTTTAAGTTCAGTTACAAGCTCACCTGACTAAATCAGGCAATACCTAACCTAAGCCCATGAACCTCCTCTGGTACTGCAGAGGGTTAGCTCCACCAAGCGTCCACTAGACCATATGCTATTGGCCTGAAATAACAGATTTACTGCTGGCAAGCACCTATATCCACCCCCACCTCACTCCTCGGTTAGTGGTACTCTAACATGAGACGAGCACCTGAGCCTCTTAGTTTCACTCAACTACAACCCTCTAACAACCCGGATAGTTTATTATTCTAGTTTATGACTCTAATAGTTACATAGCTGAAAAGACTTGCGTCCATCAAGTTCAGCCTTCCTCACATTTGTTTTTTGCTGTTGATCCAAAAGAAGGCAAAAAACCCAGTTTGAAGCACAATTTTGCAACAAGCTAGGAAAAAAATTCCTTCTTGACCCCAGAATGGCAGTCAGATTTATCCTTGGATCAAGCAGTTATTACCCTACATTGAAAGATTATATCCTTGAATATTCTGTTTTTGCAAGTATGCATCTAGTAGCTGTTTGAACATCTGTATGGACTCTGATAAAACCACTTCAGGCAGAGAATTCCACATCCCGATTGTACTTACAGTAAAAAACCTTTGTCTCAGACGAATCTTCTTTCTTTCAGTCTAAACGCATGACCTCGTGTCCTATGTAAAGTCCGGTTTGTAAATAAATTTCCCACACACTGGTTTGTATTGGCCCCGAATATATTTGTATGATATTATCATATCCCCTCTCAGGCGATGTTTTTCTAAACTAAATAGGTTTAATTTTGTTAACCTTTCTTCATAGCTGATATGTTCCATTCCTTTTATTAATTTTGTAGCCCGTCTCTGCACTTTTTCTAGTGCCATAATATCCTTCTTTAGAACAGGTGCCCAAAATTGCACAGCATATTCAATGTGTGGTCTTACCAGTGATTTATAAAGATGCAAAATGATATTCTCATCCCAAGAATGAATGCCCTTTTTCATGCATGATAATACCTTATTGGCCTTGGCCACTGCGGATTGACATTGCACATTGTTGCATAGTTTATGGTCTATAACAATTCCCAAGTCATTTTTGTGTTATCATCCCTAATTCACTTCCATTAAGGGTATATGTTGCTTGTATATTCTTTACGCCGAAGTGCATAACTTTGCATTTTTCAACATAAAATTTTATCTGCCATTTGAGTGCCCAGTCCCCCAGTCTATCTAAATCCCTCTGCAGCAAAATAATATCTTGCTCACATTGTATTGCTTTACAGAGTTTTGTGTCATCTGCAAACACTGAAACAAGACTTGCAATGCGGTCTTCAAGATCATTTATAAACATGCTAAATAGAAAGGGTCCCTGAGGGACACCACTTGCCACCTCTGTCCAGCTTGAAAATGTACCATTAATGACAGCTCTTTGTACTCTGTTTTAAGCCAATGTTCTACCCAAGAACAAGCATTTTCATCTATACTTCTACTTACTTCTTCGTAGAACGCAATCATTTTACTCTACATTTAGAAAATGTTTGTGTGTTCAATAACCACTTGTAAGCTAATGGACTAAAGACCTGCCCAGAAACGACTTTTTTTTTTGTTAACGATTGTTTTATTTAAAATAGTGCTGACTGCATGACAATGTTATCACTGAAGCTATTCTTGTGCTCCTGTGCAATCTGCTATATCTATGAGATGTTGACAACTTTGTGTACACCAAGCACCACCAAAAGTAAAGAATGTCAAAAAACTAAAAAAATATATATATGTATTAGTTTCCATTCTGTCTACTAGAATGCTATATGTACAGAATTTAACTCTCAATGTAATGAGATGAAAGGAAGACCCCGTAACTAGGATCTCAAGAGATGTTTCATGCTACATGCAGGAATGGAACAATTACAAAAAATAACTTTTTAATATATTTCAAGTATTTATTTACATTATCTATCAAAACATCACTGAATGTAAAGTAGTTTGTAGTGCTAATGATTCGGTTTGAAATATTTAAGTAGACTGTTAGGCTGTTTTGACGTTTGTGTCTTTTTTGCCTTTGCTTTTTCGTGCTGTTTCTTCACTGGGATTTTTGAAGTATGGTTTTGCTGTTTCCACTCGGACAGGAGTTCTTTCTGTAAATCAGCTGGTAGTTCAGAGAATACATTCTGATCGAAGCTCTTAGGAACCAATATTGCTGACTGTTTGACATCGGATTCGTTATTATCCACGTTTGCTCCAGCATCTGTATTGGTTTCCTTATTCTGCAGGTAAGAGCTCGTGGTACAAGTCCCGGCATTCGAAAGGGGAATAATGTCACCCAATGACTCTCCGGTTGAGTAGTCACTGCATTTAAAAGCTTCACTGGATATGTAACTGGACTTTGAATGGTCTGACTTGTCAACATCCATTCCGTTACATGTAGATGGATTTCCTCCTTTTGCTTTATTGAAGAAATGTAGTATGCCTTTAGAGGTCTTGGGTGATTGACATGTTTGGATACCCTTATGAGCTCCTGAAGTAGAGGGACTCAAGAGAATCTCATTCCTAATTTCCTCAGGCAGTTGGCTAAATACATCCATGTCAATGTCTTCAGGTAGGGATGGAGAGAACGGCTTCTCCTTGGTAAGGTGACAAACTGTATGAGTTATTTGTTCCACTCCAGAGTTGCTCTTAAGACCATCCATGGCTACATCTGTTTCCTGGAAAAAAACAAAAAAACAATTAGAACATTTGACTAATGTTTGGTACCATTATGTGGTTTATGGAGAAATATGTTCACGAATGATGTAACCCATAAAGGTGGCCAAAGACCTCCTGGCAAAGTAACAACTTAGTTTGGATGACGATGTTATTGTGCCCCAGTGTTCCTTTACGTTTATTTTTTTTTTTTAAACCGACATATGTATTTGTGAAATATAAATGATAAGGAAATACATTGCAATTCCAAAGACTTTTTTTTCTCATCTTGAAGCAAAACGTTATTTCTAAGCCTGTAGGTGTGATAATCTATTTACGCATCACAATATACGAAATACCATCTCCAAGGCCAATTCTCTTTTGACCCCAGGACCGCATTGCTATTTGGTCATAAATCATTTCCATGTCACACTACAAATTAATCATGTATTATCTTACCTTTCTGCTTTGAGAGTCTTTTGGTTGTGCTTTCTGAGTTAAATAAAACCCAATTGCATTTCTGGAAGTGTTAGAAGCTTTGAGGTTTGCAAAACAAACATTTATGAGTGTGAGGTGGAAAGGCATCTTCACATCAATCATCTTCTCAAATAATTTCATGAGCAGTTCCATCAAAGGACTGGTAACATCCTTATTCTCTAAATGACGATTAAATAAAATATACAGAATAAAATTGATTTGTGGTATGATTTTACTATTAAAAAGATTATAATCTCTTTCTAGCAGGGCCCACATCAGTCATTGTTCCTCTAACAATTTGTAATTGTCTCATTATTGTTAAAAAACCCCTTTAGAATAATGCGCTGCGGAATAAGTTATATAAGTGCCAATAATAATTATAAAAACGAGTTAATCACAAGAGCAGAGTTTGGCCAAAAGTAAGTGCAAGAATCCAAAACACATTTAGAGAACTGACAATGGTCAATATGGAAATCAGTATAATACAGTATAATACACACAGGGCATTCAATTAATACCAAAAAGGTTGAGCTATTTAATTTAAAAATATTCTATAATTCAAAGTTTCAGCCTTTGCTCTTGTGTATATGTTTTAATAAATAAAACATGCTTTATATACTATTGAGTAAAATTACAGCTGCTCCTGTAAATAACACGTGTCTAAGTCTAATAAAAGGTCAGTAAAGTTCTCAGAGAATAAAAAGGACCACCACTCTTACATTCTCAGTCAGTCTGGTTTTAAAATTCACTAATACTCAGACTTCAATCTCAACCATGCTTTCCTTAAAGGGAACTATAGTCACCAGAACAACTACAGCTTAATGTAGTTGTTTTAGGAAGTATAGTCAGTCCCTGCTGGCTTTTTAACGTAAACGCTGTGTTTACCTTACAGCCTAGGAACACATCCACTTCTTAGATGGCTACTGGAGATGCTACCTGGGGCAGTGCTGCCATTCAATGTGTACTGAGACACAGAACTTTCCTCATAGAGATGCATTGATTGGGTGAGATGCATTGAGTGGGGTTAACATGCTTCAATACAAAAAGTACAATCAATTTTAGCTTGTAAAATCCTTCACCTGTGCCCATATTCTGGATGACATGATTTGGAATAGTACACTGTCTGCTTTCCCGGTTGAACCATTTATTAATTGGGTGAAATTGACGGATAGTCAGACGTAGTGTGTGTGGACTTCTTCCATCCTTGGACAAACTAAAGAATATTGACACTAATTAACAATAAAGATTATATTTGGCACAAATCTGTTACACACAGATAGTCATCATATCTAGATACCCCAATTAAAACAGGTTAATAATAATTTTCAAATAAACAAAAAATATAGTACAAGACATATATAACATAAGTTAAGCGTTTATACAATGCCACTATCATCTCGTGAAATATGAGGGGAGGATCTACTGACCTAAAAGCAGTCATGGAACAGCATGGTCACCAAAACCAAAAAAGTGAGCCCTACACGGCCGACTGTGATTACAGTAGAGTTATTGTGTTAAGAGGATGATCCTGGCTATAATTACCTATTGGTACAGAAAAACCAAAAACATTTTACTTACTGTAAATTTCTTTTTCCAGAAGATTAGAGGCAGTGCTTTACAACTGGGATTTCATCACATGGAGGGATAAAACAGGCAGGCAATCTCCCAAACTTTTCAAGAACCTCCCCCAATTAACCTTTGGCCTTATAAATTGCTTCCTACGCAAGACATCCCCAGAAATTACAAAAGCCGAATAACCGTACCATTCAGACTATTAAAAAATTGGGGGGAGAAGTGAGCACTGCCTCTAATCTTCTGGAAAAAGACATTTACGGTAAGTAAAAATTTTTGTTTTTCCCTTCAGATTAGAGGCAGTGCTTTACAACTGGGATATCCAAAAGCAATCCCTTAGGGCAGGACTCAAATCTCACTGCAAAAAACCTGCGACCAAAGTTTTATCTTCCAAGGTCAACAGACCAAAATGAGTGAAGAGATCACCTTGTGGCCGTTAGGAATTTGAGAGAATGTATAGCAGAAGCCGTCAGGCAACCGATCTGAACATAACTGTGATCGAAGGAGCTTCAATGGAGATCGGTGATAGATAAGAAAAAAACCAAACGAATGCAGACCTTTAAGGTACCGTAGACGAGAACTAAATGCCCAGGAATTGAAATTAGAACTCCAAGACCCTAGAAGGCTGTTGGGAAAAGTTAGAAAAATAATGATAGATGGAAGATTGGGAAGAATTAAAGAATCTAACTTAACTCCACTTTCTCCTGCTGTAAATGGAAACTTGAAGTTCTTCCAAAAATATTTTGTCCGACTACCCCCAAAGACCTAGAGTGAAGACTCAAATCAGCAGAGTTAAAAACCCCAAAAGAAGATCCCCTGCGGAATATAGGAACTAACCACAAAAGAGCCTAGCAGATACTGGTGATTTGGAGACAAACCTCTGAAAATCAACTGAAAACCGAAATTTGACCCGGAGAATCTCTGGCTTTATACCATCCGCAAAGCCCATCCGAAGAGAAAAAAAAAGGGGTTAAAACTTGGAAGCGGATTCCTGCTTTTCTTTGAACCAATATCTTAAACCACACCTTCCATACTTGGAATAAATCTTAGAACAAGATCCATTTATAGTAAAAGAAATTGTCAATAATTTCCTGAGACAAAACACTATCCTTCAGTATCTGGTATACATAAACCAGGTCGTCAGCTTGAATTACTACAAAGTTGAGAAGAGGTACCCTTGAGAATTCCAGGATGCCTATTTACAGGTAAGGTCCCCAAAGATTCCTCCGGATAATTTTAGATGACCGGTGACACAGCTACTTGCCACCAAGGGAGAAAGACTATTATTCTCACCTTTTCCATCCTATAGGATCTTGGGGAATAGGGAACCAGGAGGAAACTATAGGTTAGACTGGAATTCCCAAGATAGAAAAGGAAACCAAATCTTACTGGTCTGTCCAAACTTGTCCAATGAAACACTTCATGCTATCTGTTTGATCTAGAAGTCCCAGTTCCATAACTGGATAATCAAATTCTTCCTATCGTTCGGGTGAAGATATATTAAGTTCTATGCATAAATGAATAGACCTAAGAAAAACTAACCCAAGCATATCCTGGAACAAGATTTTTAAAACAAGATGACCTTGTTTGTACATAATTGCTACTGATGTAGAACTATCTGACCAGATCTGGACAAGATAATACCTGGTCTTTATCTGAAAGGCAAAGAGAGCTAGCCAGATAGCCTTCGGTCCTATGTAGTTGGATAAGTTTTTTCAAAATCTCAGCTAATTTCCCTTCAACCCTATGAGAACCTAGCTGAGACCTGAAGCATCAGTCATAAAATTCTGAACAATCTATTTGAGAACTAGAACAAAAAGTAAGAACCATCTGGCATCCTATATTTCTGCCTGGTTCAGAAAGGAATGACCGAAGTATAGGATTTTACTGCAAAAATCTTATCAGCAACTGTATCTGGCCTCTGAAGGACCTGTAAACAGTGCTATGCCTAAAGAAGCTGAAGAGACCAAGCAGGTTCTTACAAGACGGGAACCAATATTATTTCCCTAGTATCTTGTCTACTGAAGTAGAAGAGTGATTTCAGGTGATAAGGACAGAGACCACAAGTTTTTTCTTTGGGGAATTACCATTCTCGGAGAGTCAAAAACACTTGTCAAAATATTTACACCTGAACTGTTCCTTGACAAACACCAGAACTGCACACTTCTTGTAAAGGGAATTCTCTATCAGAAGATTGATTAGCATCCACCTGTATGCTGTAGAAAAACACCCTAACCTTTAGGGGCTGGTTTACAAAAATTAATTAGGTGCCCCTGAGGAAGCAGTATTGTAGAGATTCAACAAATTTATGGATGGCAACTTTTTGCACATTGAGAGAATCTCAAGTGGAAATTGCCATAAGCTCTTTCTTAAAAGAAAAACGGCAAACAAACCTAGGCAGCTTTATTGGCCGAAGCGAGACTGATTACATAGATATACAGTCTGCATAAGACAATAACCATGATCCAGGCCTTCCTTAGCCGTAATTGGTAAGCAGAGGCTAGAGCAGAAATAATATCTGCAAACTGCATTTCAAACCCTGCTTGATGCAGACTCTACAGGAATCAATATTAGAAGTAATTCTTTAAAATTGCAATTCCAACCAACATCCGTACCTGATAAAGGCTTTCCTTAGCCGTATTCGGGAAGCAGAGGCTAGAGCACACAGAATAGCTGCAACTGTATTTCAAAACCTGTTTGATGCAAACTCTGCAGGAACCAATATTAGGAAGCATTTTCTTTAAAATTGCCATTCCAACAGTCAGCTTAAACCTGTCTTTGTAACTGACAACATAGGACTTGGAATTTAAAACAAAACATAAAATGTGCAACCATGGAGTGAAGCACAGGAAAAGTTCTGCCCCAGCTGAAAAACAGACTGCCTTTTTAGAAACTGATATCAGGTGAAACTAGTTGAGGTGGTGAGAATGCTAATTGCAACAGAGCTTTGTCTACAGCAATTGCTAAAAGCCTACTGCATGTTTTAAGAAAAACACTGCGGCTAGGATCCTGGCATTTAAAGAATCCATCTGCTACAACAGTATATTAACTTAACCAAAACCAGATTTTAAATATCAGCCTCTAAGGATAACATACAGAGGATAATCCTCCAATAGTCATACGGGTCTTCCACCGGAACACTTCACTTTAATTACTGACCCTGTTGCAGCAATTAGTGATTATTTAAACCCATATTAACTAATCACTGTGTAGCAGCTATTTTGAGCCAGAAAGAAAACTTAAATTTACCAAATAGAATTATGTAAAAGTATATTCTTATCTAATACCCTTTATAGGCTTTACTCAAAGAATAATCTATTTTTTTAGAAGAAGAAAACCAAAGAATCTATTATGGGCCCGATCTACTAAGTGCTTACACTTTCAAAGCACTATTTGTTTTACGATTTTAGGAATAAAGTGATGAGAAGCTAAAAAATCTCCAACTTAGAAACATTTGCACTTTTTTAGCTTATCCATCTTGCAGCACAGATAATTAACTTATTCAGGCTAGAGTCATTTAAGATAAAAGCAAAAAGGCTTACCTTAAATGTTCTCAGAGTGTGCTGCAGGTTGGTGAGAACACACTTGCAACAGATTCTGAGTGCACCTGGCAACAGTTAGTTGCTGCTGGGTAAACAGCCTCTCTAAGTCCTGGAAACCAACATCTTGACCCGGAGAGAAAAAATAAAGATATTGCGCCTGAATTTTAAATCGCATTACGCATGTCCTGCGGTGGAAATAAACATAACCTGTACGAGTATTCCACCTCCAGGACTTCCCAGCTAGTGCCCAAAAGCGCACCATCGTCTTCTTGAAAAGTTTGGGAGATTGCCTGCCTGTTTTTTCCCTCCAGGTGATGGAATCCCAGTTGTAAAGCACTGCTTCTAATCTGAAGGGAAAAAAATATTTTGACTCTTCATGTAATGAGAAGTGGAACATAACCATGTTAATTAAAGGCCTGTTTGTGTGTATTCTCATATTCAGGCTACTCACCATTACTGTTTGTAGTTTTATTCGGTGTGGCTAGTTCAAAGGAACATTTGAAGAACCAAAAACACTACATCTCAATGTAGTTTATTTTGGTAAACAAAACCCTGACCGTGCACTCTAAGAAATGGTATTGTTTACATTTGTCAGTCAATGTGCTTCAAGTGGCTGTCAATCAAATAATGCTTGACTATAAGAAGAACTGGATTTAAAGAACGCAGTAACTGCTACATGTATCTTAGTGTCTCAATGCTTCTGTATCAAAAGCTATTGAACCGATAATCTCACAGTGGGCAGAGAAGCTGCCGAAGTAGGATTGAGATGGTGCTGGAATCAAGGTACATTATCATTATTTATGCAATCCAAAAAGGAGAGACCCTGAACAGTTAATGGTACACTCCATGCATCAACACTACTACAATCTGCTGAAGTAGCTATGGTGCTTGAAGTGTCCCTTTAAAATGAACATTAATGTTAATAACGATATACTATTTTCAAAATGTTAGAGTGATCCTTTAACAAATGTCTGACCTTTTGGTCCTGGTTAATATTTTCTCCAGATACAAAGGAAGACGTTCATTAAGCTTACCCTGTTGATGGGCACACTGAGCAATTTATACAGAACCTGGTGACAGCTTGGCATTATGTGAGTGGTATTCATTGAACTGGCCTATTTGTATCACAAGTCTATTACAGCCTCATACTATGCACAGTTTGAGGTTTGCAGGTTGGTCTAATAGTTTACCATATGGTATTAGGAGTGAGAGTACACGGTATACTCATTTTGTTTATTGCTTGGTATTGTTTTGAGTAAAAGGATACAAACTCAGAATACTGTGGCACTTTGACCTCAATTTTAGATTGCTGGATAAGCTTTTCAAATGAGTTAATATTTTTGGGATAAACTTGTACAATAATGTTTTTTCAAAACAAATATAATTTTTTTCAAAATTATTTATAAAGCACGAGCAAAATTCCATAGCGCTGTACAATGGGTGGACTAACAGACATGTAATTGTGGTGGGTGGACTAACAGACATGTAATTGTAACCAGATGAGTTGGACAGGAACAGAGGGGTTGAGGGCCCTGCTTAATGAGGTTACATGCTAGATGGAGTGGGGTATAGTGACACAAAGGGTGTAAGTAGGGGTAATGAAATAGGTTGCTAGAAAAGTATTCACTGGAAACTTAGGTTATTTTTGACAGTTGCATAAGAGGAGTCATGTGGGAAGAGGAATGAAAGTTTGCTAAAAGTTTAAATGATATGCTTTCCTGAAGAAGTGTGTTTTCAAAGATTTTTTGAAGGAGTGGAGACTGGGTGAAAGTCTAACGTAGAAAGGAAGGGAGTTCCACAGAAAAGGTACAGCCCTGGAGGCGAGCATCAGATGTGGGAGTACGGACAGACGTAGGTTTTCGGCAGAGCACAAAGGCCTCGACGGGACATACTTCTGAATTAGGGAGGATAGGTAGGTTGGAGCAGCATTATGTAGGGACTTGTAAGCAAGCACCAGAATCTTAAATTGAGCCCTATATCTAAATGGAAGACAATGTAGGGACTGACAGAGGGGGGAGGTGCGGGTGGACAGGAAAATGAGCCTTGCCGCTGCGTTCATAATAGATTGGAGCGGTGCAATCTGGAAACACGTAAGATCACTGAGAAGGGGGTTGCAGTAGTTAAGACGGGAAAGAACAACGGCATGGACCAGCACCTTAGTCGCGTCTGGTGTTAAATAATAGCGGATGCGAGCTATGTTTTTGAAATGGAAGCGGCAGGATTTGGCAATTGACTGGACATGAGGCGTGAAGGAAAGGTCGGAGTCAAAGAAAACACCTAGGCAGCGAGCCTGCAAGGTAGAGGTGATGGTGGCGCCGTTGACTTGGAGGGAGACAGACATGGGAGTGGCTATACACTTGAGGGAGGAAAGAACAGAAGTTCTGTTTTGGACAGGTTGAGTTTAAGGAAGTGAGCAGCCATCCAGTCGGAAGTCACATAGAGGCAGTCAGAGACACGAGTCAAGATGGGAGGAGAGAGATCAGGAGAGGACAGGTAGGTTTGCGTGTCATCTGCATAGAAATGATAATGGAAGCCAATGGAGCTGATGAGTATATAAACAAATATTAAAAGTTATATATTATTTCAAAGATTTATCCAAGTTTAGCCTTTGTTAGACAACTTTTACTTTGCACTTGTGTATACTTACTCAGGGGATTTTGAAGCCTATGTCAGAGTAACATTGCTAATGTTTGAGCCAAAGTGTTTAAAAGCTTTACACCTTGACAAAGCAGAATGACATGCCACTCTTGTTTATGTTTTTTTTTTTCTACTCACCGGTTTAAAAGATTGTTAAGTAGCTCGTTCATTTTCTCTTTTACTTCTAATACGGTTGAACATTTTTTAAAGGAATCTTCATCACTTAAAGACTGTTTAAAAAAAAAAAATTCAAAAATGAGGAATTGTTTATGTGTGTGCATATATACGGCCCATTCTCTAACATATAATAAGACTGCCATGCTTTTACCTGAAAAAAAAAAAGTAAATGACAAAACAAATTAAAATTTCTAACAGTGGCACCAAGACCCTCTTAAAGGGAATTGGTTACTTCCCAGGGTTTTTAACATTATGTTTAATTATTCTAGGTCAGGGATAGGCAACCTTCGGCACTCCGTATGTTTTGGACTACATCCCCCAAAATGCGTGCAAAGCATCATGGGAGGTGTAGTTCAAAACATCTGGAATGCCTAAGGTTGCCTATGCTTGTTCTAGATATTTACCACATATGCGTGAAAATTAAAATTAAATGTAGAAATCCACCACTCTTAATCCTGCAGCTGGGCGCCTCCATCTTAGCTTCCTGTGAATCATTATTATAAGTTGTTCTTTTACACCTGACAATCAGCATAGATAAAGCATACAGAGAAGAGGATACATTAAATAATATTTATATTTCTTCTCCTCTAACTTTCAATGTTTGTCCTGACTGTGCCAGGACTGAACTGGATTGTGATGTAGTTTGATACATCTATATAAATTTAAAAGATGACAGATCAGCTCATGAAAAAAAAGATTAACAAAAGTTATAGGTCTCCCCTCCCTTTGCCAATCGGCCTCTGGCAGTAATACTTTTAAACCATTTTTTTTTTTTTTTTTGCCACGATGCACCCCAAGATGTACTTGTGATTAAAGAATGTTATACCTTTAAGCTAAATTATTAGAAGTGACTTTCCATGCTCTCTCTTGAATTACTGTTTATTTAAATATCTTTATATGGGGATAACGGCATGCATATTAACATTGTCACTTGTCTTTAGGGGCTTTGTTTACTTTCTGTACATCATATGTATGTTGTCTTATGTGATCTATACATATGTAGAAAATCTAAATAAAGATTGATATATAATAATAATTTTAAAAAAGTTATAGGTGAACATAAAAAGTGGCAGCACTTAATGGGTCTATCCCTAATAAGATATACTTTGGGATACCATAATATGAAAAGTCCAAAATCCAATACAGGGTGAATAGTCTAGAATGATGTAATTAACCAACAGTATCGAGGATCCAAAACAGCATAAAATGTATCCACTCCTGAGTCAGTTTCAGATGTAACCTTAAAAATTACAAGGAAACGGCAACAGTGTGATACTGTAACATTTATTAAAGTACCATTATAGGTAACCAGACAACTTCAGCTCAGTGAAGTGGTCTGGTTGCCAGTTCCCTCTAGTTTTAATCCTGCAGCTGAACTGCCATGTTTCACTGAGGGTTAATCCAGCCTCTAGTGGCCGTCTCACTGACGCTGGAGAAGACGCCTTTCCTATGGGCGGTTTGAATATGCGCATTCGGATCCGACGTCGGCAGGGGTTGGAGAGTTCCCCAGCACAGAGGGAGCCCGGCGCTGGAGAAAGGTAAGTGGCTGAAGGGGTTTTAATTATTTAATACTGTTATTTTTTAGCGCTTTCTTAGTTTTATTAGATTTTGCACTAAAAGCTATAGGTGATTTTCATTGTTTTATTCAACAGGGCAAATTCCAGAGAAGTGACAGCGTGCTTTCAATGGGTTCATGGATAATAGACTGAGGTCCTTAAACCCTTTTAAATCAATATGAATTTATCCATGTGTTCTTACATTTCTTAGAATGTTTTGCTGTCCCTTTTCTATAGTACAGAATTATGGAATTTGCTGCTTCAACTGGGGTTAACCTTTTAAACTTAAAGTATATTAGCAATAAGAGTAATAACATATCAAAAGTATATATAATATGGCCCATTATGATATGTATTGAGCCTTACATACCTGGGGAGGTCCAGATGGGGTTACAGGTGATTCATCTTCTCCTTTACTAAGCATCTGCATCTTGAGGGCTGCCGATCTTCCAAAAGCCTTCTCAAGTATTGACAAGTGACAGTTCTGTAAGTCACATATGTTGCTAAGGTTCAAAGATTCAAGACGCTGGGCTGTTCTGTAACCAATGCCTGTTTAAGAAACAATTTTTAAAACGTTATGGAAACACAGATTTTCTAAAAAAAAAATTTCATTGTGAGGTTATAGAAATAAATAGTAAAGCCCTTTAATTTTATGGCATTTTATTGTTTTTAAACTGGTTTGCCGCAGACCTTTATCTCCTATTATGAAGCCCTATACAACCACACCCCCCCCCAAGGCTCTACACCCACTCCAGCGGCCTGCCAGAGAACATCAGAATTCTTAACACGCCTCAACCTACCCAAACTCCATACTGCAGCCATAGAGGAACTATCAGCCCCAATCACCAAAGACGAAATCAATCTGGCCATATCATCCCTAAAGAGCAACAAAGCCTCGGGCGCTGACGGCTACGAGGGAAGCTATTACAAAACCTTTCGCGAAGAATTGCTCCCACACATGGAAACCCTATTCCGCAAATTACTTGAGGAAACCCCGCCTACCAAAGACATGACACAAGCACACATCATACTCCTACCTAAACCAGACAAGGACCACACTCTACCAGAGGCATTCAGACCCATTTCACTAATAAACCATGACAGTAAAATTCTGGCGCCTCGACTAAACCTGCACCTCACACACCTCATTCACGCAGACCAGGTCGGGTTCGTTCCCGGCAGACAGCTATTTGAAAATACAAGATGAAATATAGACGTAATATGGACACTCACTACAACCAAAACACCAGCGATAGCCCTTTCCCTAGACGCTGAAAAAGCGTTCGACAGGGTGAACTGGCCACACATGTTTACGCTGCTGGAACACTTAAACATACCCCCCACCTTCATCACGGCAGTACGGGCACTATACACGGACGTGACAGCCCAAATACAGCTGACTGGGTCGAACAGCCCACGATTCAACATATATAACGGTACTAGACAAGGATCCCCCCTATCCCCGTTGCTTTTTGTACTAACACTTGAACCCCTTCTACAGGCAATCAGAGAACACCCCGAAATTACGGGGGCAAAGATAACCGACCAAGAGTTCCTGGTGTCCGGATATGCGGACGACGTCCTCATCACATTAACTAACCCCATTCACGCACTAATGCCCCTCTTGCGGAACTATAGTGCAATATCAGGCTACAAAGTCAATATGGAGAAATCCAGCGCGCTCCCACTATTTCTCACACAAAATGAAACCACCCGAATCACGTCAGACTACCACATACGCATGTCATCGACCTACCTCTCCTACCTCGGCATAAAACTGCCGGCGGATCTCACGAAGCTACACAAACTAAACTACTCCCCAATAATCACTAAACTCATAACTGACATGGAGACCTGGGCGGACAAACCTATATCTTGGATCGGGAGGATACACTCGGTGAAGATGAACATCCTACCCCGTATCCTCTTCTTATTCCAGGCCTTGCCCATCCCCATAACAAAACACGACCTAAAGCCATTACAGCAGGCCATTGACCGCTTTATTTGGCACAACAAAAGACAGAGTAGCCCGTAACATTCTATACCGCCCCAAAACCAGAGGGGGCTTAGGCCTACCACGCATACATTTCTACTACATTGCAGCCCACTTGACACAAATAGCAATGTGGCATACCCCTCCGGAAACCAGGAGATGGGTTGACCTGGAATCTCTGATTATGAAATCAGACCTTCCACAGTTCTACATATGGACCCCGAAAGAGGACAGAGCACTCGAGGACCGCCTGCCCAGCTATCACGAATTCGATCCACATATGGGACAAATATGCCATAAAATATGAACTAACAACAACGTCCTCCCCCCACACCCCCATATATCGAAATAGGGCATTTGTTCCGGGCATGAGACCTAGAGACTTCAGGGGCTTAGAAAGAGCGGACCTACAAAGAGTTCACCAACTCTACGCAGGACACGAAATAATCCCTTTCGCGGAATTACAAACCAGAACAACCCTGACCCCTGCAGATTTCTTTAGGTACCTCCAGCTAAGACACTATGCTACCCAAGAGTCTGTTAAAACAGCTGCCAAAACTAAACCGACATTCTTTGAAAAAATATGCCTGGCCGAACACTACCAAAAGGGAATGATCTCCCTCCTATACTCCCACCTCTGCTCCACCACGCGGGAATGGGGCGCCCTCCACTACACTGACAAGTGGGAAACCGATCTTGGGGAAACCTTAGAAGGCATAGACTGGCAGGACATATGGGAGGCAAACGCCAAAACTTCCATTTGCGTCACAATGCAAGAACAGTCGTACAAAACGATGTTCAGGTGGTATACCACCCCTGTTCAATTGTACCATATGAAAAAAACACCCACAGACCGCTGGCGCAACTGCGGAGAGAAAGGGACATATACCCATATGTGGTGGCACTGCCCTAAAATTCAAATCTACTGGAAGGCCATTCAAACCCTAATAACCCAAATATTGGATAGACCAGTGACACTTAACCCATGGGCGTTCCTGTTGGCCAGACCCTAGGAGGATTGGCCCAAACCAAACCAACAACTATTTAACAAAATAACCTTAGCGGCCAGAAGAGCAGTAGCCCAAACCTGGTTACAACAAGACATCCCCCCAGTAGCAATAGCGATCAAGAAGATTAAAGAATGCCATCTTATGGACAAACTCACGGCCCAAGTTAGGGGCACAACCAAAGCTTTCAATAAGACGTGGGAACCGTGGGAGACCTACAGTGACCAATAAAGACCAAATAGCAGAAAGGAGACGCAAACACGAACAACGGACTGAAGTATGACCCCCTCCCCCCCCACCTTGACCACCATCGTTGGGCCGAGACAACCGGTATCCCAGCCCGCAGTTTAGTTATTTCTTACTTTTTCATTTCTCACATGTACTTTGGCATGTTTGTGTACTAAACTCACCTCTTGGAACGCCATTGAGCTCTTGCACGAGCCAAATCTTTCACATTGTCTACTCAATACCGTTGCAAAAAATAAAGAATTTAAAAAAATAAATAAACTGGTTTGTTTAGTGTTCAGAATCTGGACACCAAGTTACCTGGAACTTTCATCACATGGCCAAGGCTGTTCATGAGATGAATGGAACTTTCTGGAAGCAAAACGGTTTGCTGATTTGGTTTAAATGTTCCGGAAACCAGCTTGGAAAATAGTTTGTTGGATGCAACTCCTGCACATCCAGTAAGGCTCAACCTTGCAAACAGTGCTGCTCGCATGTCAGCTGCAATGTGAGATCCAGCAGCTAGCCGCAGGTGAGTTACATCTTCCAGATTCACAGCTTTGAAAACAGGCATAATTATTGTCAAACACAGGGGGACTTCAATAAACCCCAATATTAAAGCAGATAATTTGTTTGTTTCCAGTTAATTTTGCATTTTTATTATAAAGGATTATTATGATCATTGGCATAGTCAATGCCTACTATGTCAGCATTCATTGATTGAGGAATTAAGTAAATATGAGTAAAAGCTAGCAGGCACAAACGCCCGCAGGGGTAACATGGCATAGTGGCACCATTTACAAAATTAATCTATACATGGTGTTGGCCAAATTTGCTAGCAAATGCACAAATTAAATTTTATTCTAATTTTCACTTTTATTTCTAAAGTGACCTCATCACTAAACAATTAAGAGGAATATACTACAAATGAAGTGCTTGCATGTTCTGCACACAAAGTTACCTAAGCCTCAAATTATACAATCGCATTCCTACTTTAATTCCTATTGATAGTGAGGAAGTGCAACTTAGAGTTTTTTTTCACTAAACTTCAAATTAATTCTAAATGGCAAAATTGAGATACAGGTAGCTCATCTGGAATAATTATCCAACTCTCAGAGCTGGACTATTCTTGCCTCAGTTTTGGCATTTAAAATGAATTCACAAAAATGTGGAGTTTAGCAAACAACCCTGTAAAATATTACCAGTTACAGCAGCGGGTAGATGGGCTATGTGTGAACCCGAGTTCATGTCAAAATGCTTCTGAATTTAAAAACCAAAAATAAACATTTTTTTAATACTTCAGAATCAATTTTGTATGGTTGTAACAGACGAAAACAAAAAAAAACACAGAGTTTTTGTTTTGTTGAGAAGACAAAGCTAGCATTGCATTTTTGTTTGTAAGGAATAAACCTCAAATAACATTGAGATTACAAATAAAATAAAAAAGAATAAAATAGCATTGTACAGAAAAGAAATCTTGTTTTTTATTTTAAATGATGTCAACATTATTTGCAGGATGAGAAATAGTTACAATGACAAACAATTAATTCACCCAGTAATTCTTTCAAGTGGAAAAGAAAGTCACAAACAAAATAAAAAAAAATAAAAAAAAGTATATAAAAACTTACGCTGATTGTTGTACACATGACCAGACACAGAGACCTCTAGATTGCTATCATTCTGTTGCAACTTGTGCAATTTTTTATCTACCAGTTCTGTGACATCAATGAAGTTTTCATCAAATCCAAGCCTTTCCACCCTTGTGCTGAACTCCTCCAACAGTTCTGGAAGAAAGTATGATGTTATCAACAAAAGCAGTCGAGCAAAACGCCACTGTCATCAGTAAAATGAATTATTGTTTAGTTCCTTCGGTATCATGATTCACTGAAACTAAACCGAGGATTTTGATGAATTTGTGAAAGGAAGAACTACGGATGATCTTTTTAAAAGGATTGCTTTCTGCCTTTCTTTAGCTCTCGTTCCTATTTGGGCAACTTGTAGAAGTTATGTCTGACAAACTTATTTAAAGAGAAACACAGTTTTGTTTGAGAAGAATATATATATTGATTCAAACAGAAAAATAATGTTAGTTGTGTTTTTACCCCCAACTTAAATAGATTATACAGCTGGGTACCAAAAAGATTGTATGGGAACATGATCGTCAAAATGGAAGAACCCACTAAATGTTTCAGGTGGTGGAGGGAAGTGTGTTTTTATTTCAACTCATTGAATACTGCAAAAGGATTTAAAGGGACACTGTAGTTCAGCAGTAGCAACCTTCGACACTCCAGATGTTGTGGAGTACACTTCCCCTGATGCTTGCCAGCATTATGGGAGATGTAATACACAACATCTGAAGTTCTAAAAGTCGCCTACCCCTGCTGTAGGCACTATAGTCATTTCATCTCATTGAATTAATTATAGTGCATGGAGTACTCTGGTGCTGTCCTTCCATTCAGTGTTAAACCAATTTCAAGTAGCTTGACATTGTATGATATTCACTGGACACCACCAAGCTAGTCTGTATTGGAGGTATCATTAAAGCAGAGATTACAGTCTTCCTTTGCCATCCAAATTCATACCTGCAAAGGGAAGCTGTGACAGGCTAAAAAGCATTCCGTATAGTGTCCCTTTAATGGATTTAACATATACAAGGACTTTAGGTGATATATATTTATTAAAAAAGCTTAAAGGGACACTATAGTCACCTGAACAACTTCAGCTTAATGAGGTTGTTCAGGTGAGAACTATAGCTCCCTGCAGCCTCTCGTGTAAACACTGTATTTTCTGAGAAGTTGCAGTCACTCAGTGTGAACCAGAGGGACTTCGGAGTTGATGGAGGCATAATATGCCTCCATCCACTCAGATCTGCTGTCAGCAGAGCACAGGGCAGCACTGTACACAGCATCCTGTGATTCAGTATCTCCTCCCTCTGCATGCAGACACTGAACTTTCCTCATAGAGATTCATTGATTCAATTCATCTCTATGAGGAGATGCTGATTGACCAGGACTGTGTTTGAATCATGCTGGCTCTGCCCCTGATCTGCCTCTTTGTCTGTCTCAGCCAATCCTATGGGGAAGCACTGTGATTGGATCAGGATACCATATGTCAGCAGACTGCTTGTTTTTCCTGAGTAACACAGGGCCGGACTGGGAAAAAAAAATTCGCCCGGGCATTTTTTTTTATCACAGCGGCCCATTAAGAAGGGGGGCGGGGCAGAGAGGGTGTGTTTTGTATCACTAATGACAAACACGCCCCCTCTCAAAGTGAGCATGTTGGTTCAATGCTCTTCCAGGGCAGACCATGCGCAGTGCTCTGCCGAAGAGCTCTAGCATGAGAAAAAAGCCCTGCATTTGTTCTGCACAGCACAAGCAAATTTAATAACATGCTTGCACTGTGTTTCCTTGCAACTTGTCTCTGGTGACACCAGGAGACAAAAATGCCAGGAAAGAGTATTGTGCATGTGTTTCAAGCCTGCTTGTGGTATTGCGTGTGTGTAGAGTGAGCTGATTGTGGTGTGGTATTGTGTAATAAGGTCGGTTTTAGTCGTGTTGTGTTTGTGGCGTAATGTAATGCATATGTGGCTAGGGGCTGTAGAGAATGTGTGTATAGGGGATGTAGCAAGAGTGTGCATACAGGCTATAGTGTGTGTGTGTGTGTGTGTGTGTATAGGTGATGTAGTGTTTGTAGAGAGTGTGTGTTTAGGGGTGTAGTATGTGTTTGCTTACAAGGAATTTAGTGTGTATGTTAGGAGTGTAGTGTGTGTATATATATATTATATAAATATGTTTGGAAATATTGTGTGTGTGTGTGTGTGTTGCAGTGTGTCGGGGGCTTCTGTGTGTATGTGAGGGGTGTAGTGTGTATGTGAGGGGTGCAGTATGTGTGTGTGTAATGGATGCTGTGTGTGAGGGTGCGGTGTGTGTGAGGGTGCGGTGTGTGTGAGGGTGCGGTGTGTGTGAGGGTGCGGTGTGTGTGAGGGTGCGGTGTGTGTGAGAGTGCGGTGTGTGTGAGAGTGCTGTGTATGATGTGTACGAGAGTGCCGAGTGGGCGAGAGTGCCGAGTGGGCGAGAGTGCCGAGTGGGCGAGAGTGCCGAGTGGGCGAGAGTGCCGAGTGGGCGAGAGTGCTGTGGGCGAGAGTGCTGTGGGCGAGAGTGCTGTGGGCGATAGTGCTGTGTATAAATGTTAGAAGGGATTATGTGTTGGGGGGGGGGGGAAATGAAAAATAACTAAGCGGCACTCTCACACCATCCCTGGTGGTCCTGTGGGCTAGAGTTCACTCTCGCGAGATCGGCGGAGTAAAACGCTCCCGATATCGCGAGAGGAACCCGGAGGAGCTGCAAGATAGAGCTCCGCCAGGTTCTCCTCTCCCTCCCCAGCTGCAGGTCTATTTAAGTGGGCCGGTGAGGGAGATCTTTGATCCGTCATGGCAAACAGCGGGGGCAGCGCTCGGATAGTGCCGGCCCTGCATAGACCGGAAGGAGATCCTGTAACCTCCCCTGCCGGCCTTGGCCCATGGCCACCGCGGCCCACCGGGCATTTGCCCAGTGTGCCCGATGGCCAGTCCGGGCCTGGTCTAACAGCATGCAGATTTACAGCTTCTGGTTTGAATACAGTAAGATTTTTACTATATTTATGGAGGCATGAGGGGCCTAGATGGTGGTGTTAACACTATAGGGTCAGGAATACATGTTTGTGTTCCTGACCCAATAGTGATCCTTTAAAGGCTGAATTTTGAAAATATATGACATGTTTCAAATCGATTTGAAGCCAATAATATAATGCTCATATTTTTCAGTGTTTACTTTTTCCAAAACAAAAGATAGTGTTATGGATGGGAGAGTGCAAAATTACATAAATACTGGCAATCCAAATTCATGTGCATTCATGATTTGATTTTGCTTTTCTTTAGTATAAACTGGTTTTGAATCAATATTTCTGCTTCTCTGTATGAATGCCTGTCTTACTTATTCCCATTCCAAAAGTTGTGATTGTTATAAACCGATCACATATGATTTTTTTTATAGCCAACAAGAGGGTCTCGTTATACATAAAATAAAAAAAAAAAAAAAAAAAGGTATTAAATCATGGTCCTATTCTACAAAGAGATGGTGCCATCTAATTGATTATTATATTCTTCCTGCTATTTATTTCAGTGTCATTTTCGTTGCAATATCAATAAAAAGAAAATATTTTACATTTAAATTTTTTCAGCAAGTGCCATAATCTGAAATGTCATTTCCCTGTAAATTCTTTTTCAAACACACAATTTCAAAATATTACTAAGTACCTGTAGCCTTGTAAGACATTTCTCGGTAGTGAGTCAGATCCTCACCACTAACCAGCACTAACTGTGGACACTTATCCTTTGCTTCTCTGACTAACATCAGTTTATGAACACCCAGGCTCCTGGCTTCGTAATTGCAAGTAACCACAATGTTTTTCTGTTGAACTCCTGAAAATAAATACAAAAAAAAAAAAACAAACACCCCAAACAATAAGTAATTTTCAAGTCATTATAAACGATTCATTTTTAAACAGTTGCTTCAGTAAAAAAAAAAATTATCCAAATTCCACAGCTGTCATTTCTTCCAAAATGTAAGGGTGAAAGCAACATTGTACGAGCCTCACACAAAAACCATACAATCGAAAAGATCTGGCATTCACAATGTCCCAGGACAGCTCTTTATTAGGAAACCATAAACAAGGTTTCAGCCCCGCATTGTCTGTACTGAAGCTTTGTTTGTGGGTTCATAATAAAGAGCTGTCCTGAGACATTGTGGGTGCTGAATCTTTTCCTTTGTTTTTATTGTATTGGAGTGTGCCGCTCTGGAACTTCAAGCACAGCGATTAATGTGGTCCTAATCCAGTTTGGTGAGTGCCATCTCAATTGTTTTACTCACATGATATCAATGTTCCCCAACCAATAATTATTATATTTATATAGCACCAACAAATTCCATAGCGCTTTATAAATCAATATTCCATTTGCCTAGTCTAGGCCTGCACCCCCAGATGTTTTGAACTATAACTCCCATGATTCTTTGAATTAAACGAATAGCCAACCCCTATGATTCATTGAATGAAAAAGCCAACGCCTATGTTTTTTTTTAAAATGAAACAGCTAGCCATGGAATCATGGGAGTTGTAGTTCAAAACATCTGGGGGGGCCACAGGTTTTTCAGGCCTGGCCTAGTCTCTTAATGAACGGTAATGCAAGTTCAAGTAAATAAAAACCAAAACCACCCACCTGTGCGATCATCACTCACTGTTTCCACCCTTAAGTCATTTCACAAGGAGATGACTCCACTACGGAAACACTGTACGCGTACATGAGGAATTCTCCCACTGGTCAGTGTTAAACCAGGAATTAGCCAAGATACTTCAGACAGTTCGTAACTGCACATATCACTAGATGACTATCAGAATCTGTATATTTTCTAAGCGTTCGCCCAGTGGTCTCAGGTTATCATTTCCATCCAAAATAGACGGAATCACACATTATATTGGAGATTCTTCACACTGTGTAGTATAATCATTTACTTCCAGGGTTGTGCACTCAAGTGAGAATTAGAGGTGAAATTTACATTTTAGACCAACACTGAAGCATAGTTGAAAGAGAATTTTAGTAAATAACCCTGTCAGCATTACAGAACTGTATTCCTACCATACATTTTATTTTCGCCTGGTGGAAAATAGACACATTACCAAGAGGTTTTGTCTTCAAGTGTGGATTTCGAATCATTTCAACTTGGGCATAGAAGCAATCCATGTCTATGTGTATGATAACTCTGCTCCCAGCTTTGCATGAAGTTCCGGAATTCCTGGGAACTAAATAAATAAAAAGTTTTAGATCAAGCCTTTAACAACACGATGGAAAAACTTGTTTCTTTAAGATTAATTTGCTGCTTAAAAATATATTTGCAAAGACAGCATATGAAAATGACTGACCTATGTGTTGATCGTAAAGCTATACTTATGGTGGGCTGGTTAACCAGATTACCTTTTCAGCGTGCGGTATATTTGACACTTATCAGGGCAAAATGGATATACTTTTCCATAAACAGATTTCTCTTTAAATGTTTAACCCCTTAAGGACACATGACATGATTCCCTGTTATTCCAGAAGTTTGGTCCTTAAGGGGTTAAAGCTTAAAAGGTTAACAACCAATTTCAAAATCATCAGCTCCTCCCACTCCTCAACTGGACAGGAACAGCTTCTTTTTAAAAGAATAAGAGTCGTTTTTCCTTACCACTACACTTAGAAATAAGATGTTTTTGCACCTCCATTTTTTTTTCTCTCTTTTGTGGCTTACTCGGGTCTAAGATTACCTCAGCCCATGGTGAGTTCAGCCATTCTCCCCATGGAAACCTCAAGCACAGCACCTCACTAAGCGCAACCCCCTAGAGCAGTGCTCCTCAGGGCACACCTAACAGTCCAGGATTTAGGGATTACCCAGGTGTGTCTAAGGTGTTTAGAAGAAAAAAAGAAAAAACACACATCTTGGAGTTTAAGGTGTTTAAAAAAAAAAAAAAAACACCACAACTAAACTCCTTAGACACACCAGGGTAATCCCTAAATCCTGGACTGTTAGGTGTGCCTTGGGGAGAGGGCCGAGGAGCATTGCCCTAGAGGACTCTCCCCATATCCACCGGGAAGTTACGCTGCAGTGATCCTTTAGGTAACAGCTGGACATGCTAGACCCCCTGAGGTGATAATTCTCGTTCAGAGCACACATACCTGATTGGAGTCCTGGGGTATTCTAGCTTTCCCACTTGTGGTGGCTATTCTGGATAAGGAAAGGGAGAAATGAAAGAGCAATGGTCTGTTGGTAAAAACTATTGACCCTTACAGGGGTGCTGGAGGGCCTCCTCTTTATTTTCCACTCTTGTCTTGTTCAGTATTTTTTTCTACCTTTTTGGTTCAGCTTCAATGTTGGAACGCATTCCAATTTTCACATGGGCGTCCTGACGCCTTTTCAACAGGGATGCATTATGTTGCGAGTTAAAGTTCCAACTGAGATATTTTCCCCCTAACCCCTCTGATATTCCCTCTACTGAGGAGAATCCAACAGGAGCAAGTTACCATTCTAGCAGTTATCCCACATTGGCCCAGACACCCTTGGCTTTCTCTGCTGCAGAAGTTATCTCAGGGCTCCTCCTGAATCTGTCATGCCATTATCATCTGTTACACCAGGGCCCGGTTTTTCATCATGCACCCCATTCTCTGAAATGGATGGCTTGGAAATTTAAAAGTCAACGACTCCTTAAAGAAAGGCTTTTCTGCATCGGTAAGCAACACCTTGCTCAATACAACAAAAAAAGAGTCGACTTCTTCAGGCTTTTCCTGCATATGGGACATTTTCTGTAATTGATGTGTTGTTCATGAGGCCCCTTCTCAGTCTCCTAGTACCAGTAACATCCTTCAAGATGGATTTGAAAAAGGTTTTAGCCTCAGTTCCTTTAAAGTGCAGATTTCACCTCTATCTGCTCTTTTATATCATAAGCTGGTTTTTGATCCTGATATTATCAGGGTTTTTCAAGCGGTTCTAAAACTCTGCCCTCTAATTAAGTATTGCTTTCCTTCATGGGACTTGCCTCTGGTGTTGCAGGCCTTGTTTTGTACTCCATTCGAACCTTTAGAGGATTTCTCTCATCCTTGACTGTGAAAACCGTCCTACTGGTGGCACTTCAGGAAGAAGGATCTCAGAGCTTAGGGCTCTTTCATGCAAGTCGACCTTTCTGATCCTACACGAAAATAGAGTCATACTTCATAAAATTCCAGTCTTTAATCCTAAAGTGGTGTCCTCCTTCCATATTAACCAAGACATCCTTTGCCTGCCTTCTTCCCCCATCCCTCATCTGAGGAAGAAGAGAAATGGCATTGACTAGACCTGGTTTGTTGTCTGTATGCTTACCTAAATCGTACTGCTGGCAGAAGGAAAACATCTAGCTTTTTCATCATTCCTTCAGGAAACAAGATGAGTCAAGTTGCTTTTACTTCTTCTATTGGCCGGTGAATAATCTCAAGCATTGTTCAAGTTTACAAACCTTCTGGCGTTTCAGTGGGTCATCGAGCTCATTCCACCAGATCATTGGCCACCTAATGGACAGATCCAGCCAATATTTCTCTTGACTGCATTTGTTTAGCAGCAACCTGGTCCTCATTTACCACATTAATCCATCATTATCGGCTAAACGTAGCTAGGTCTTCTACCTCGGAATTTGATAGAAGTGTTTTTCTGCTGCCTTATAGTTAATTTTGTAAATTAATGTTTTTCTTTTACATTAATCTTTGTTTGTTTTTTTCCATAACCCATATGACCCAGGACATACTTGAAAATGAGATAAATTCCAATGTATCTTTCCTGGTAAAATATTTTATAAATAAATCTGTAGTGCTGCCATGGTTATATCCAGGGAAACAGAAAATGTATACCATATTTACCGAAATTTTTGTTTCCAGTTATAGGCCATGTCAGCACTACAGTCCTGCCCTTAATTGATTTTCTGCTAGTAGCTTTGGACTAAGACTGATGGGGCAAGCGAAGGAGTCTTTTATTGTATAATTAGGAATTGTTCCTGACCTACTGAGGACTGGGAAGAGCTATACCCATCTGTAGTGCTGTCATGACCTATATCAGGTAAACAAAAATATTGATAAGTATGGTATTAACTTTCTGTTTCTGAAACATAGACTCTGTAAAAGGTCACTTGTTGCACAGGTTATGGTACACATAGTACTTATAGTAGAAGCAATTTGCAAACATTGCTAAAGCAAAAAGACTGACAACAAATGGGTAATTTCTGCTATTGTTCAAGTTGTGCTTGTGGCATGCACATCCTTCCCATCTATTCTCATATTTATTATAGTATATTATGTACAGTACAGTGTGTTCCACAGATGTCTACGGAAGCTTTAGTCAACTTGCCCCAAACATTCTGTATAGCATATTACACTTAAATGTGTGTTATACAGAGATATTGGAAAGGTATGTGGTAATTAGATCACAAAGTAGGCTCCCATATGTTTTCCAGAGGTTAGATTAGCTGTATGGGATTACCATCATGCAGGTATATTACACCATGTGTTATGTACAGGTTAGAGGAGCTGTGTCCCAATGTGTGTTATATAGAGGTTAGAGGAGCTGTATTACACTGTGTGTTATATAGAGGTTAGAGGAGCTGTATTACACTGTGTGTTATATAGAGGTTAGAGGAGCTGTATTACACTGTGTGTTATATAGAGGTTAGATGAGCTGTATTACACTGTGTTATATAGAGGTTAGAGGAGCTGTGTTACACACTGTGTGTTATATAGAGGTTAGAGGAGCTGTGTTACACACTGTGTGTTATATAGAGGTTAGAGGAGCTGTGTTACACACTGTGTGTTATATAGAGGTTAGAGGAGCTGTGTTACACACTGTGTGTTATATAGAGGTTAGAGGAGCTGTGTTACACACTGTGTTATATAGAGGTTAGAGGAGCTGTATTACACACTGTGTTATATAGAGGTTAGAGGAGCTGTATTACACACTGTGTGTTATATAGAGGTTAGAGGAGCTGTGTTACACACTGTGTGTTATATAGAGGTTAGAGGAGCTGTATTACACACTGTGTGTTATATAGAGGTTAGAGGAGCTGTGTTACACACTGTGTGTTATATAGAGGTTAGAGGAGCTGTATTACACACTGTGTGTTATATAGAGGTTAGAGGAGCTGTATTACACACTGTGTGTTATATAGAGGTTAGAGGAGCTGTGTTACACTGTGTGTTATATAGAGGTTACAGGAGCTGTGTTACACACTGTGTGTTATATAGAGGTTACAGGAGCTGTATTACACACTGTGTTATATAGAGGTTAGAAGAGCTGTGTTACTGTGTGTTATATAGAGGTTACAGGAGCTGTGTTACACACTGTGTTATATAGAGGTTACAGGAGCTGTATTACACACTGTGTGTTATATAGAGGTTAGAGGAGCTGTGTTACACACTGTGTGTTATATAGAGGTTAGAGGAGCTGTGTTACACACTGTGTGTTATATAGAGGTTAGAGGAGCTGTATTAAACACTGTGTGTTATATAGAGGTTAGAAGAGCTGTATTACACACTGTGTTATATAGAGGTTAGAGGAGCTGTTATGTGTGTTATATAGAGGTTACAGGAGCTGTATTACACACTGTGTGTTATATAGAGGTTAGAGGAGCTGTGTTACACACTGTGTGTTATATAGAGGTTAGAGGAGCTGTGTTACACACTGTGTGTTATATAGAGGTTAGAGGAGCTGTATTACACACTGTGTGTTATATAGAGGTTAGAGGAGCTGTGTTACACACTGTGTGTTATATAGAGGTTAGAGGAGCTGTGTTACACACTGTGTGTTATATAGAGGTTAGAGGAGCTGTATTACACACTGTGTGTTATATAGAGGTTAGAAGAGCTGTGTTACACTGTGTGTTATATAGAGGTTACAGGAGCTGTGTTACACACTGTGTGTTATATAGAGGTTACAGGAGCTGTATTACACACTGTGTTATATAGAGGTTAGAAGAGCTGTGTTACTGTGTGTTATATAGAGGTTACAGGAGCTGTGTTACACACTGTGTTATATAGAGGTTACAGGAGCTGTATTACACACTGTGTGTTATATAGAGGTTAGAAGAGCTGTGTTACACACTGTGTGTTATATAGAGGTTAGAGGAGCTGTATTAAACACTGTGTTATATAGAGGTTAGAAGAGCTGTATTACACACTGTGTGTTATATAGAGGTTAGAGGAGCTGTGTTACACACTGTGTGTTATATAAAGGTTAGAGGAGCTGTGTTACACACCGTGTGTTATATAGCGGTTAGAGGAGCTGTATTACACACTGTGTGTTATATAGAGGTTAGAAGAGCTGTGTTACACTGTGTGTTATATAGAGGTTACAGGAGCTGTGTTACACACTGTGTGTTATATAGAGGTTACAGGAGCTGTATTACACACTGTGTGTTATATAGAGGTTAGAAGAGCTGTGTTACTGTGTGTTATATAGAGGTTACAGGAGCTGTGTTACACACTGTGTGTTATATAGAGGTTACAGGAGCTGTATTACACACTGTGTGTTATATAGAGGTTACAGGAGCTGTATTACACACTGTGTGTTATATAGAGGTTAGAAGAGCTGTGTTACTGTGTGTTATATAGAGGTTACAGGAGCTGTGTTACACACTGTGTGTTATATAGAGGTTACAGGAGCTGTATTACACACTGTGTGTTATATAGAGGTTAGAAGAGCTGTGTTACACTGTGTGTTATATAGAGGAGCTGTATTTACGTTGAGGTTGTGTACTAGGCCCGCTCAGGCTGGCCGGACCCCAATCTCCTGACTGCCAGTCCGTGCTGTCCTCATCCTCTTCCTCCATTTCCCGCGGAGATTCCTGGTCTGTGCACTGGCTGCAGTGAGGCAGCGCGTTACGGCGAGGGCGGGGTTTCCTCGTGACGCCACTGCGACGGGCGGGTTCTCCCCCCCGCTCCCGCTCCCGCCCCCCGCTGTCAGTGCGAGGGGCGGGGCTTCCTCCCGCTGTCAATGCGCTGTCAGTTTGAGGGGCGGGGTTTCATCCCGCTGTCAATGAGGGGCGGGGTTTCATCCCGCTGTCAATATGAGGGGCGGGGTTTCATCCCGCTGTCAATATGAGGGGCGGGGTTTCATCCCGCTGTCAATGTGTGGGGCGGGTTCTCCCATGCTGTCAGTGCGAGGGGCGGGGTTTCCTCCTGCTGTCGGGTTGAAGGGCGGGGTTTCCCAGCTCAAAATACACGCTTGTGGTACGAAGTGGGAGGAGTCGGTGCTCGCAGCATTCAGGTCGTCATGGTAACGGTGCAGGGCGTTCGGAGCGCGCCACGCTCTGGGTGTCACGGTACCGGGCCATATTGGGCAATGTTACAGCCCCGGACTGCTGGCCAGTACCGGTCCAATCT